TACTAATCAAGGTGGCACAGAGCTTGTGTTAGGGGTTGCAGGACAGATGGTGTGTTTGTAAAATGCCTCCTTGTTGCTGATGGTCCCAGCTCTGGGAGCGGGACAGAAGCACCAATGGAAGAGTGACTGTGTTGTTCTGCGGCTCAAACGATCTCATTTCCATTAAAAAGCTCATTTCAATTTCTGCTCTCTGATCTCACCTATGTTGGCCTCCAGAGGAAGTGAGAACAAAGTCATTTCTACACTGCCAGAAACAACAAAGCCACAGATCCGTATCCCACTAGGACTCTTGCACTCTGAAGAAATCTCCGTGGTGGCACAAACTGTTACTTGCTGCTAAGGGAATGTGCTGCATACCTAAACGTTGTGAGTTGAGGCCACCAACACCGGCACCAAGACTGGCGTCTCCCTGGCTGATACCTGGCGGTTCACTCTGATGCTTTCAAATACTGACTTTAGGAAAACAGCATGTGGCTTCATACAGTATGCTATTTTTGTCCTAAGCCTTGTTTATCCATACCCTGAAAACATCCCTTTTTAAGTTGTGTACTTGGGTACTTATGAATGTGTATAAAGCTTTAATGAAGACGTTTGCTGGAAAGCTTCCTGTTCTTACAAATCCATTCATTTGAAATTGATATGTGACCATCCAACTATTTCTGCCTCCTTCCTCACTCAAGGGATTGAATTTTTAAAGCGGCCTCCATGATCCTTTTTTGTCTCTGCAATTAGTCTTACATGTGTTCTTGCAGCAGGTGTTAATTGCAGTCACAAATCCCATCTTTTTTACATCTAAAAATAATACTGGCACCTGATCTGTTGGAAGTCTTGGGCACACAGATATCTAAACGTTGTTAGGCTTTATATTAACAATTGACAAAAGACATAAGGAAGAATGAATTGAGATTTTAGAACTAGACTTTCTAAAAAGGAGACAAGATCTGACATTTGGACTCACACCACAAACAGTGCTCTCTCTCCTCATGCAAATGCCACAGGGCAGAGGGGTATCAGCCACTCCACCAGCATGAACTTAAAAACATCTCTTAAAACCATGTGGCTCACACCAAGATATGTGCATTTGACTTCTTACTTCAACACTTTGATTTACAATAATTGCAGTAGTTGCAATAAAAGCAGTGTTTTTTTCATTCCAGATGAAAGCTGTATGCCCAACTGCCAAGCAAATTTTCTTGAAAAAAGCATCCCAGATGAGAACTAAGACACCGGTGCATAGACAAACCAGTCAATTAAAAGACTCAGTTATTGACGGTTGTGAGAAACAAAGAAAATGGTTCAATTCAATACTTGTTGAAAACAAAATTAGCCGTAATGACTTGAGTAGGAGGCCTACTTTAGAAGTTAACAAGCAAAGACAGAAAAGTACACAGTATCAACCAGGTAACTCAAACTTTCCTTTACTGCTCAGTTCCTGAAGACGACCTCCTGATCAACAAATTTAGTATACAAATGAGTAAAGCTAATTTTTTCTTTTTTAGTCCAGAAGGCTTACAGGAAGGAACACCCAAACAAAGCAGGCTGATTTAGACAAATATACTATGAAGAAGGTGCAATTTCATAGTTTAGCCACTTTTCTCAGAAATCTGTTTCAGAATTACTCTGCCTCAGCCACCCTTAAAAAAATGACTCTATACCTCGTTCTGTAACCAATTCCCTGATTTCCCTTAATAGAAATGGTATATCTGAAATATATACAAAGATTTGATGCTTTCCCTCTTTGTCAGTCTTTGCAGGCTGTGCTGTACAGAATGCAGCTTTATCAGTTACTTTTTCATTGTGCTAATGTTATCAAAGCCAAGCATCCAAGGCATGTTTAAAAATAATTGATAATGAACCTCTTACCACAGGCAGTCATAAATATTTTATGTGCTATACTCAGTATATAAGCATCTTGTTGGTCTGCTATTTAATTTCCAAAAGCAAACACCTTGGAAGTCTTTCATCTTTTTAAGTAGAAAAATCACTTACCCTTCCCACTTCTACGAGATTAGTAACCATGATTATGCTGGCTGTGTTCTCATGCCATACCATTCTCCAGAAGTCATATATTGTCTCCTGCATTGGTCCTGAAATGATAAATCAAAGGAAAGGTTACTATCTGAAAGTCTCAAGATTGGAAGCTTGTCTCTGGGGAACTTGCAGAAACCATGACTATACACATATATTCATATCACTATCGTCATATTTTTCATTTAGGGTCAATTTCTTTTCTGTCATCCCACCTATCTGCATTTAAGTATTTTTTCCCTGAAATAGTGCTCTGAAAGAAAGTTAGTTCTCTGGCATTTAGGTATTTATCTCCGTAATACCCAGAAGTGGAATTATAAAAAAATGGATAACATTACTCTTTCTCTTAACAATTGGATGATAACCTAGGGAAGGTGTATTTGGAATGAAACGAGCCTCCACGGACTATGTGGCCTTTCCCGATTTCTAATATTTTTCTTAGTATACACTATCCATCGAATTACCCCAGCGCCTAAATTGTACTTCCTGAACTGAGATAGAAGTTACAGTTTTTTTTCTGCAGCGTATCAACTCGCAAAACAGCGGGGAAAGTGGTAAAGAACCCTGGCATGTCACGATAGCCATGTCCTCTGCAGCGCTTTCCCCACCCACCTGGATGCTTTTGCCGGCAAACACACAGGGCTTCCTCTGGAGTGGTGCTAGAGCTGGTACCAGCCCACAGGAAATGTGATGGAAATGGCAATGTTGAGAACAACCACATCACCCGGCGTATGCCTGGTCCTGTCTGTTTCTAGCTTACGTGTCTTGTCCGTGATGTTCGGCGTGCCACCCCGATTTTAAACCACTGCTTTAAAATCACTGAGCCAGTGAGAATAAACAAATGTAAAATACTACCAGGTACTACAGACAACATCCATACTGAGTTCATTACTGAACTGCCACACTGCAGGAAGCAATTAGTGGCTTATTTAGTGGGATGCCTTAAGTCAGCTAACTGGAGGACAAATGGATAACGTACTGGCCTAAATGCTCCTCTAGTGAAGAAACCAACACTCTTAAAGTACTACAAAACCATACATTGACAGATTTGGGTAGTTTGGCACCCATGTTTTCGTACTTTGAGCTCCCTTTGAAAATAAAATTTTCACTCTGAAAGTACTTAGTGAAAAATGTAGTAACATATTATTATATTATCATGGCAGGGGAGTTGGACTAGATGATCTTTGAAGGTCCCTTCCAACACAAACCATTCTGTGATTCTATGACTTTGTGATCCTATGATATTACAGGCAAGTCAAAACCAACTCACTAGGCAAATAACATCACAGTTATGATGTAACTTACTTAGAACTCAAGTTTAAGAAAAAGGACGGTAATAGTCTAAAACTTTTGAATTTTTAAAATTTATTTTTATTTTCAGCAATTATCATCCATAATTTGCATAGACCATTTAAATAAGTTCTGTATTCTCCCCCTTACTTTCTCTGCTTTTAAAAATGCTGCATATATAGTTAGTTTCACAGGCTTCTCTATAGTCGCTCAACTTGCCTTTTACTCACTTTGGTAGTTCATATAACAGGAGAAAAAGCCATTTAAAACAACAGAAAGCTACGACTGTTAGAACACAAGAAATGTCAGAAGGTCTCAGAGTAGAAATAACAGCAGAATCTAAAACTACAGTTTCTGAAATTACCAAATTGAAGCTGATATTGTGGCTGCAAAACTGGACACCTTTTTTTTTTTCTTTTAAATTACAGCACAGAACAGTTGATACTTTTGTGAATTTTCATTCTAAAGTATGACAAGAGTTAAATCATGCCCCACTATATGGAAATTTACAAGAAGTATTTTACTTCTACATAAGTGTCCTTAGGTACTAGATATGTAATAAAGGCACGGTCTGAATGTCACAGGAACATAATTAATATACTTTCACTATAAAGTTTAGCTTGCTTGTATTTTAATAATGCAGGATTCAATGTAGCTTTTTGGTCAATTAAAGCCACAACAGCATTAGAAATGTTTTGGGACAACCTCTCCTACTGGTAAAAGGAAGGAGACTATTTTACTCACTGTAGGAAAATACTATCTCTGTATAGCTCCTTCCTTCCTCTCAAATCTCAAACAAATATTCAGCAAAATTACTATTGCTATCATCTTTGAAGGAGTGTAGCTAAAAATAGGATTAGGGAAAGGTAGTCTTCCAGAGTATTGTCCTGGAAGGAGCCTGCAAGTTCATGACACATTATTGAGATTATTTGAGCTTGATCAAGAACAAAAAATAACAACACTATTGCTTCAAGAATCCTGATTCACAACCTGGTTTAATGGACAAAATCTAAATAGCTCCACTGCATTCTGTCACCACAGGATTACGTGATGTTTTGAGATTGTTCATCTGAGTATGTTTTTGGTAAAGCTGTAGGAAAGGTGAGAAAAGATCCTCTGTCTACATAGCCCTCTTCTTTTCCCCTTGCATGAAGCCAGAATCTTTGAGAAACTGAGGGGCAACATAGCACGTTTCTTTATGGATTATTTCAGTTTTCTTTCCTACAGATTCACTTGAGATACAAGATAGCTGGACCCTCCTTTGAAAGTAATTTCTTTTTGACGGCTCTGGGATAACTTGCAACAATTTATTCCCGATTTTTTTTTTTTCTTTCTACAGACAGCATAATTTGTCTAGTGAATTAAAGTTTCCTACATTTCAGATCCTGAAATCACAAATTACAACTGGGGAGAAATCCTAAACACTAGTTTTTTCCTAAAGATTTTGAATTTGTCGTTCTTTATAAACAAAAAAAAGATAATAAATTATGAGAAAAATAAACCTGTAGAAAAAGTAATTGCATTTTTCAGGCCAGAGAAAGACTTGAGCTCTGACAAGTCTTTCAAGCTTGATTCCAAATGTTCTTCTAGAAGAAATGTCCTATTCTGCAGTGCTGAGTACGGTCTTCTCAATATTACTATCAAAATGATAAGACAATCATCATGAAAAGTGCTTGACAGAATTTCCTGCTCTCCTCAAGTATTCTCAAGTTTTTTCTTGCTTTTCCTCTCCAATTCTTACATGTAGCCTCCAAACTTCTTTCACCTTCAGGACATTGAAAGGGGAAAAAAACCACCCAAAACCCTACCTTAAAGTCTTAGAAAGTAATCCTTTTCTACCCCATTTTTCTTCTCAACGTTTCTCAAATTATTTTCTGACATATGAATAAATTATTACTTGTGTCCAGCCAGAATTGAAAAGCATTAGTAAAGGCTAGGTAGGGTTGCAGGATTTATTCTCATGAAGAACTGAACAATTTGATTCCAGAAACTCAGGGCAGGAAGAGAAAGAGCCTGTAACTGTTCCAAGCATCAACTTAACAGATGTGTGCACAATAGGCAGGAAGGTTATTCTCAACAGTTGCCCCCTTGCAGGAGAAGAAAGTCTGAAGAGAAGGTACTGTGCTGCCTAACAGTAAGCCCGTGGTGTACCCCATTAGCTCCACAATATAGTAGCTGATATCAAAGATTTCTGCTGTGAAAAAAACAGAGACATCAACAATACACTGGAACCAGAAGATGAAAAGCAAAGGAAAATAAGAAAAAGAAATGAACTCTCCAAACCCCAAGCTAATTAAATGCATTATTGAAAAAACTCAACAGAAATGATTGGTTGTATATGTAACAACCATTAGTTGTATTACCAGTAGTTGTTAGTTGCTGCTCTGGGAATGCAAACATATTAGGAAATGGAAAAATCATAGAGCTTTTAAGAATGGTTTAAACTCTTAAGAAGCTGCTTCTGTACACAGAGCTTTCTAGAGCCTCCTTCTGCTTGTTACTGTGACAAGACCCAGTTCTAACAACTGGTATTGCTGCTGGGGTATGTGATCAATTAAAATGTGATAAACTAGGTCCAGAACACAGGACAAAGTGTTCAGATGTAGGAAAGAACGCAAACACAAAGAAACAAGTAAAATCTGAATCCTGAAATGTCCCCAGCACTGCCTCAGACAGGACTTGTAAATCTATGGGGTCATTTTTCAATTTCTAGAAGAGCAAGCAGCTTAAACAAGGAATAAATAGCTTCTAAAACCTTTTTCTAGCGTAGAATGTCAAATCCGCAAGCTAATGTTTGGTCCACTGAGAGAAAATTCAATGATAGATATTAAAGCTAGAAATGTGCAGAAAATGAACAGATACCTTTAAGCTCCAAAGGCTCCCCAGGGACAGTGCATGGGCAGCGGTAGCCGTTAGCATGTGTTGATAGAGGCAGCGGACTGACAAGATGCAGGACTTATATCTGCAGCAGTTAAATTCCATCTTGAAAAGGGCAATAAACCTCCTTCCAGTGAATACACGCATCCACCCCGTGTGAGGAGGTGGTTATAAAATGGTCCCCTCACCTAACGGTTACTGCAGTTTCTAGTAGCAATAGAAAAAAAAAGCCTTCACTTTTTACCAAAGCAAAACTTGCTGCTTGCTACTGTGACTGCCTACAACTTGACCACTCAAGGACAATGAGCTAATATGCCTGCGTAGAGGGAGCTGCATTTTAGCCTTCATTCTTTACTATGCACGATTCCTTCAAAATAAACTTGAGATACAGCAATTTTTTTGTTATGAATAGATAAGGCTGCATGGCAAAAAAAGCCAAAAAGCAATGATTCCCTTTGCGACTACACTACCAAAAAACCCCAAACCCATTATGTAGCAGAAATTGCTCAAAATACACACGAAAGCATAAAATGAGAGATTAAAATAAAAATTACTGGGACAAAAGACTATAAGCTAATAGATTAAAAAGTTAAAGAATTCTCTTCCTAATGAACCTCTTAAATGGGACAGACTAGCTGTTAGTAGGATAACTTACAGAGAATTTTGCAGGAGCAAGCAAAATTACAGGGTTACTAATGCTCTGCCAGTCCAGTGATCTGATAATCCGTAAGTGTATGTTCTTTGCTCTTTTAACCATGCTAGAATTGCAGAGGTAAGAAAAAAACACCCTTTCAGAAAAAGTTATGCAAAAACTGCAGTTAAATGTTACTTTCAACTATAAATACCACTGACTGCAGGCAAGGCAACATCTCCCTTAACTGAAATACATTTT